CTCCCCAGACCGACCCACTGGCTGTGAACATTCTAAACTAACACGAGTCTCATTAAGTGTCCAGTTTAAGGGTATTACACAGAAACATACTAAGGGAACATGAATCAAATATGCACCTTTATTCATTTACAATAAACTCATAAAGTACATCATTCTGATTGCAGCTAAGGGCATGCAAAACTGTCTAACAGGTCCTAGAGGACAGTGGTGCGCTGCATACTTTGGGAGCGAAGTATGGGGCATTGCCCGAAGAGGTGACGCCTCTTCTTCAAGCTGCACATAAAGCTCGGCTAGATGTGGTCGGGGTCTCATTCCATGTAGGCAGCAAGGTTGCTAATCCACAAATCTACAATGATGCAGTAGCAGCTGCTAAGGAGGTGTTTGATACTGCCGTGAAGCTTGACATGCCTAGAATGAGCATTCTCGATCTTTGTGGTGGCTTTACTGTTGAGCCAAAATTTGAAGAAATTGCTGTTATTATAGAAGAAGCCCTTAAGACTTACTTCTCCAATGAACCAAACTTGACTGTGATTGCTGAACCAGGGCGATTCTTTGCTGAGAAGCCGATCMCCCTAGCAACCCGCATCATAGGGAAGCGTGTGAGAGGTAATCTGAAGGAATACTGGATCAATGATGGAATATATGGGTCTATGAATTGCTTGCGCACTGGTAATGCAATTCTGAGTGCACCAATTGTGGTCACTTCGAATTGGGGCAATGGAAAATTAGCAGCATGTCGAGAGGAGATTAGCACATACCCATTGACCGTGTTTGGGCCAACGTGTGACTCAGGTGACACAATCTTTAAATGTCATCTTCTACCCGAGCTACAACTGAACGATTGGCTTGTTTTTCCTAATATGGGTGCTTACACAACCAGCTCTGGATCCAACTTTAATGGCTTTAAAATATCATCCATCTYCACCTTCCTTGCCTTCTCAGATCAGATCTAAGCATTACTTCTTGAACCCCCCCGCCCTACCTCTCTCTTCTCTATCTATGTAATCCCGCGTAGAAAATAAGTTCCTGGACCAATGGAAGGACTATGCATGTCTTCTATTCTGAATGTAACTGCACCTTGTAATACTCGCTTTGAGAAATAAAAATTGTGATTATGATGATGTTGCGTTCTGTTCTATGGTATGAATGCTAATGTTTTCGTTAGGATTGTAAGACATGATTGAAAAATAGAACAGGTTTTTGCAGGGATCCTCTATAGACATAAATGACCCAATACGCCAAAAACCCCATAAATCTTGTGCATTTCTAGTTTATTCATTTCTTTACTATTCTTGATTTCTCTTTGATGTTGTCAGATCCGATGTGTTTTGAATCAATACCGCAGTTAGATAATTCTACCAACTGGTGAAATCGAGGTGGAATGACGAAACTGTACACCAAGATTTAGAATCAAGAAAAAGTTCAGAGGCCCGAGGAGTTGTTCCCATGATAGACAATCTAACGTTCAAGTCAATAAAACAAAGGGTGAATGGTCGGGTCGAGTGGATGAGAATAACGTTGGATCGAAGCAGAAGAAGCAAGATAAAAGTCTAAGGATCCAAAAGTCCCTTACCTTGAGTGGAGGTTACCTATTTATAGCCAAAGATCGGTGTCCAATTCGGATGGGGCTTCTGGGGTTGTCGGGATGAGGTTATCTATTGAGGTCTTCAAGATGAGTCCTCTTCCCCGGTGGAGTTGTCTTCTTTGGCCATACGAGACTCTCCTTCTTGGTTGAGCTTATCTATTCCGTGTGGTGTCCGCGTGGATTTAAAGATAATATGGCCGCGGAGGCTGCCACGTGGTGTTCGTGGCCAGTTCAACCATAACCCAAACACCACTTCCCCAATTCCGAAGTCAATGAGTGAAGTGTTCGTTCGCGATTTGGTATGGAAGAGCTCTAAGGTCCTCGGTTGAGGAACTTTGACTTCACTTGATTTTGCTTTTCCAAGTTGAGCGACCCGGGGTGAAACCGGTCTGCTAGGTGAACCAGCCGGTTCAACGCTCATGCCATTTCTGAGACAAGTCGGTAGGTGCATCATTTCGTTTCCCCGAGGCTACACACGTGCGAAGAGTGGAGGTGTCATTTCATCTTCCCGAGGTGTCAAAGGGCGGCGTTGATTCGACGTCGGTAGCCGCTTTGGGTCCACTCCTCGCTGTTTGACTCC